CTTTATCAGATTTGGTGGCCGCATGTTCGAAGTTAGTACGAGGAATGAGGTCCGTGTAGCCAGAAGTAAGATTCCCCCTCTTTGACTCTTCCTCGCGAAGCTAGATCAGCTTGATTCTGTTCCGAGTTCACATGTCTCCATTGTTTAACGTTTGTGTTAGTATATGGCTGATACTCGGTCGGCCACGAACGTACAAAATCGAGTGGACTCGTTGCGTAAGTAGTAAAGCACGATGGTTGAGTCCGTCCATAAGGTAACGTTGTTTACGGGAACATCTATTTGTTCTTTCAGCATTGAGTATATTCGGGCTGTCAACGCTGCGGCTACCAAGCCTAGTCGAGGAATCGTCATTGGTTTTGGAGGTGCAACTCTCGCCTTACCAAACAGCATAGCACTATATCTGAATCCTTTATCGTTGACGAAGCAGGCATAAGCCACGGCACCATAAGCCTTCTCCGAGGCGTCGCAGAATATGTGGAGTTCTGTCAGCTCGGGTTGCGCCTCTTCGAGGAGGATGACACTGCGAGGTACTCCAATCGTTCCAAGGCGATCTAGGGATCCAGACCAAGTCCTCTATTGACGCCTTTTGTTGTCATTCATAGGGTCGTCCCACCCACGACCGTGTTTACACACTGATTGTAGAGGGCTTTTACCCGGTATAAGCCAAGGCGCACTAAACCCCAAATGATCGAAAAGAGATGAAATACACGACAGCAAACCCCTTCTAGTCAAAGGTCTCTCCTTAAGATTCGAACTTAGTTGAAATTCGTCGTGGAGGGTGTTCCGACTAATACGGAGCACACGTTGCATCGAAACAGGCCCCTCTCCAATTGACAACAATTCCGCATTTATTTTAGAGGTCGGCATAGTATTTCGGAGCTTCGGATTGTTTGACATCCATTTGTCGATAAACTCTCCGGTTGACAACAAATTAGAAATCTCTTGCATAAATAAGGCTGTTTGGGTTTCGTTGTTAAAGTCTTGAGGCAGTAGAAACTTTTACTAATTGCTTCGCTGGCGGACTCGTGGACAATTAATTTGAACAATTCTCCCACACGCCTGAGTGCGAAGTTGGCACAAAACGGGGAGGATTTCGCGCCAAAGGGTTGGGCGACCATCTGATATTCCTTCGGTTGGCAGTCCATATTCCCATCGGGCCACCACATAAACCTGAAGGCTCCCCTCTCAGGTCTCGGGATACGTATCTGCATAAACATCTCTTCGATGTTCGCTGCTACCGCCACTGGGCCCCAACGAAATCTCAAAAGAACCCCGGTCATGTTCGATGTTAGGTCTGGGCCTTGATGGAGGAAGTCGTTCAGGGAAGTGCATTTGTGCTTTGTGGCGCAATCAAAAACCACTCTCACCTTCCCAGGTTTCGCTGGGTTCAGAACCGGACGATGGGGCAGATACCAACGAAAACTATCCTGAGCGGCTGCCACAGGAACTTCCTCAATGTTTCCCAAGCTAAGGTGATGATTGATGACATTACGATATCCCTGGGCGAGTGGGGGTTTTCGTTGAAGTCTCGACTTCAGGCTTTGCAATCGGCTGATCATCATAGTGTAATTCTTCGGGAGGCTCATAGGATGTCCTTTCCACGGAATCGGAACCTCTAAGTGTCCGTCTGACATTATTGTGGCGTTCTCCACGATTGACAGGGCTTTCTGATATTTTGAGGACATTGTTTCATCCGAGGGGTTGTCATCGACATAGACCGTAACTGTCCCGTCAAAGTACATCGCGTTTGCTTCAGATGATTAACATAACGTTCCATTAGCTGAAGGTCCAAAAATGACCCAACCCAACAAGGTTTTAATCGCGTACGGTTGCCTTCTTCCGCTTACCTTTTGCTCTAGGCACCAGCGTGCTTCTGGAACGTCGCATCCAATCAGCAGCGTAACCTCACGGTTTACACCTTTCACAAAAGGTATTCCTTCCAAATGTGGCCATCTCCGTGCCTCCGTGGTGAGTGGAACCTTATGTGCTTCTATCGGCAGGGTTGAAACAGAAAACACTCTATCAATTGTTATTGTTTCCGTTCTGTCTAAAGCGGCAACATCTAAGCTTGCATATTCGCTTTGTACATCGGCGGTACCGTTGGCTGTATTGATTGTCATCGGGTAACTGTCTGTTTCTAGCCCCAGTTTTTGTATGACGCCGTACCTGAGAATTGTGACATCGGAACTATTATCCAAAAGGCGTAGGTTTCGATTTCTCCTTTTGGTCCCAAGAGTCGTACCGGAAGCATACCAAGAATAACGCCTTAGTGGGTGATGCTTGTGGATGTGACGCGAGCTTGAATTTTGGTTTCTCTGTCTAATTTTGTGGTACGCAACAATGCGTGGTGTTTGGCCTTACAACAGCAGATGTTTGATGGACACGTACTCACACGATGGCCATGGCCGCGACACTTAAAACATAGGTTCCATACTCTAACCTTCTTCCATCGGTCGTCACCATCGAGGATGTGAAATTGCGGGCATAAACTCAAACAATGTAACTGCTTACACAGACGACAGCTTCTAGATTCATTTCTTCCAACGATATGAAAAACAGAGTTCTTTTCGCATCACCGATCCGGAACCTTCCATTAGCCTCTTTCCAAACACAGTACGGTCGGGTTCGCCCGCCGCACTCCGGAAGTGGCTGCGAGCAATCCTAGCCCTGGTCGAGACGAACGTATTGAGGTCTGCGAATGTTGGTTGTCTTTTTCCGGCTGTGATCGAGTCGACGTGATCAGCCTATTTGTACTGTAGCGATTTGGGCAGCAACCTGGCTATTCTCTCGAGTGTACTGACAGAGTTGAGGTCGGCTTGCTAGGACATTTGGGTTACAGCGATAGAGCACTTCTCCATACGAATGGAGAAGTCCGAGTGTCTTCCCGGTTGGGTATGGGTTTATCTCCCTGTAGCAATCCGTCTATCAGACTCCTTGCAATGCGGTGTGGATGACCGAAGTTCTGTTGCAGTATATCCCTGGTTCTCGTATATTCACTCTCCTTACGTAAGTTATTGCAGTCCCTGATGGCATTCTTGGCTTGTCCCCTACAGTAGGGTATGAGATATAGCAGTTTTTGTTCATCTCTGACGACCTTGTTCTCAACAAACTGTCGAATAAAGGTCCGGTATAGATTGGAAAAACCAGTACTACCATTTATTTCAATGCTGCTGACACTCAAAACTGGTTGGGTCATAACAGATTTGAATTTTCTTTACTACTGCGTTAATGCCCACCTCTTAAATCAAAATGATGAGCACTGATTCCGTTTCAGAAACCATATCTCTATCGACGCAGCAGAAGACTCGCACAAAGTTCCAGGTTTGAAAGGCAAATACGATAGTGTCGGTATCACGGTGAGAGGAATTATGTATGAATGTGATATGAATTTAACAAGGGCTACAAACAATAAACGAAAATAATGTGTAACTGTGCTAACGTACTAACAGTGGGGGAAAATGAAGCACGCACAAATTGAACAACTTCTTGATTAATAGAAGGTGCTCTCAACCGAATTGAGGGATAGAACATCTTCATAACTTTACAAAATGATTCTGGAACGAGCGCGGACCATGGACAAGTTGTGACAGTGGGATAACAGTATATCTGATTGTTGATACTTGTGTGGATTCTTCGTTTGCCGACAGAGAGAGAAACGTAATTGTGAGGGCTCTGTGTCGTCCAACAGCCCCTCAGGATTGGATAATTCCCATCCTAAGACATAAATCATCGACGTTTTGTAGAGAATGAATGTGAAAAAATGTAATTGGATTCCCATAAGGATTCAATGGGACTGGGTGTAAACTTACAGTTGCGTGACGATGAGCGAGTAGATGTTTAATCAAGGCCATTCACTGGTCCTCCACGGTGCGCTAATACCGGACCGTATTGGCTTCACCCTTCCCTCCTCGGATTGGCTGAATTCTGTTTAAGTTTGTATACTTTGGGTTGTGCTGCGCGGAGCAGAATTATTGGCTGTGGGCAAGTGTGCCTGTCCGAACTTGAATCTGAATGGTTCCACATCTGCGTTTCCATTGTCGTTCAGTTGACCGCATTTGCCTGCAGTCTGGCCTTTCGTATGTGCCCGTGTTGCTCATTATCACTGATTGCTTTCTGTCAGACTGTTCATCGACCTGTTGCACCGCATGTTTTAGTATTCGGCTGCCTCTCGATCTTTCCGGTGAGGAAAATTAGCGGACGGCCTTCAACGAATATTGATTCACTCATCCTTACGCAACTTTAGACTTACGTCCAGTCCCGTCGAAGTCGTGGGGATTCAACATTCCCTCGAACTTGGCTTGACCCAGTCCACCGGAAAATTTGATCATCCGACTGTTCTCCCACACCAGCAGTCGCATTGTTATAAGCCTGCAGCAAGTAGAGCTGTCGAATGTTCCGTCTATGTGACGCTCGCAGTTCGCACCACGACTTCGCCTACGAAGACATCTGTTGGTTATTTCACCCTCTCGACAACACCCTTGTTACTGCCTTCCCATATCATAACCGATTGTAAACAGGAAAGACACACTTCACCTATTTGTTAACTTTTAGAATCTTCAACTTTGGTAGCTCTTTCCCCGCTTTACCCGATACGACTATAGTGGTAGAGCAACGGATTCCAGCTGGGTTGTTAGGGTTATCGGGTTATGTCAGGAGCCGACGATCCAGATCTTCGACGAAGCGAGACGTCTCTGTGTTATGCATAAATTAGGTAGCAGCTGATCATAACAGTATATCCGGGAAAACGCGACTTGGTTATAGGAACCTTTGTTGGCATCCGGTGCAATACCACACCTAGCGGGGCCTTGAGTGGTGTGCCACTGGAAGTTCAGGACCTTAGGTGACCGGTCTCCGTCACTGGACAGCAGGTCCATCAGACTATGAAATCGACCCCGTCTGCCGATCATCACACGAATGTGTAATAAAAAACAGAACATCGGTTTCGCTAGTAGCACTTGACAAAGCCAGAATAGCTCTGTGTGTTGATCTACTTGTAGGCTTCAAGGTCGTTGTGGAGGCCTGGCTGCATCCCATTTCTTCTGTTCACCAGTACGACTTTCCAAAACCTAATGCGCTATGGGAAAATCCATTCCTATCAGCAGCTGCATCTTTCAATACTCCGCCAAATGAACTGGTAGCTTATGTAGGTGAGGTCAATTTGCCAGTCGGTTAGCCGCGAGTACCACTTGACCGATTGGAGGCAGAGACGGTACAATCCATGCATATACTTTTTCTTGCAGATTCCTTGGCGGTTTGGAGACAACCTCAAACTCAACTTGCGAAGCTTGTGGTGATAACGGGTAACCGACTGTTGTTAGGATAACATTTTCCGGTGGAACGAACAGACTGATTCATTCAGCTGTGGCTTTCTCTATCATAGTCCTGTCCAATCCCGTATTTTGTGGAGAAACTGAAAGCTCGCCAAATGCTTACCGGAATGAAGAACAGAGTCATGGAAGGCTCGACAGTATCTTATCTGCGATACTTAAAGCAGCAGGGGATGATGTCTAAGTGGGTAGTCAATCAAAACACATTGCTAACGGGAGCGACAGGGCCCGAAGCACGGCGTGATTTAAGGCAAAACTTGCTCAGGTGTGATGAAAGCACGAACACAAAGCGGGGTTCATAATACACGGCCAAAAACGACGATTATTGGTCAAGGTAGTAAGAGACTTCTTTCAGTTGTGAACCAGTTACAGCTATTGGTACAGCTGATGAAGTGATTGGGATGAATATTGTGTGACTTGGTGACTGAATGTTCGCTGAATAACTGAAGCGATGAACGTCGTTAGCGTCGATATTCTTGGATTGTGTTTTCTGATCCGACCGAAGTTTTTCCACGTGAATGCTGGGTGCCGTAATGCCCGATGACATGCATAAGACCATCAAGGAGAACGTAGCTACACGGTCTTGAGCGAAGCTCGTCAAATAGGTTCCCGATTGGTACAAAGAATTACTGAAACCCTTTGGCACCACGCTCTCTGCGTCGAGATAGGAAGACGACATAGAATCTCACCGACTGCTTCCCATGCGTTCATGAACGAATTGGAGTTCAGCTGCGTAGGTCAGTTGATATTATCTCATTTTTCTTGCCAGCTGAGTCACAGTATCAGCACTGCCTGACCGAATAGGTGGTCCAACGCTGACGGAAGCCAGAAACTCTCTGGAAATCACGAACGGATCTCTAAACCGATTTTTGACAATCTTACGCAGTCCCTTATAGCCTTTAGAATGTACGATCATGCAATGATCAATTGTCTCTTGCGCAGAATCTTCACATTAATGAATCGGATACGAGAAGCTACTCGTCGGATGGGATACGCACCGAGGTACTGTGAAGTCAAACCGGTTTGAAAACTCCAACGGGTTGCTTTCGAACTTTAGGAACCCCTTCCCATGAAGATATTCAGCAACTGTGACAGGAAGGAGCCGGGGGGAGTATACGGATTACTGGTTACGGCAGTCTTGGATGTTTTCGACGCACTTGGATCTGGAGTTCGGATAAAAGATCCTTTACTCCGGGTTTTGAGGTCACACTACACAACAAATGCATGAGGTTCGTTAAATCTGCGTCCACAGTAGAGGAACCTCGATAAGGCATGGAGCAGCTAGATTTGAGGAGTAGAAGCGCAATTCAAAACAGATGGCTGTGACAAAACCATAGCTGTTGACCGAATCGCAGTTGAAACCAAACAGTAGATAATTTAGCTGGTCTCACGAAGCAAAGGAGTCGATAAGTTTGCCGTTATATAGGAGAAAACGTCTGATAAATTAGCCAGAACTCATAAAGAAGATTTGTCGATGAAATTGTAGAATCCAGTTCGCACCCAATTTTGAATTGTTTCCGACTGTGGTATTTTCTGCCGGCTGCAGCCGTTGCAGTCTCAATAAAGAATCAGTCTATTACTAATTCCAATTGCCTAATTTCAATTAATGTGATTCGGAATGTGTTTACCGTTGGCGTTACTCTGCCGCCTGTAGAATCCAGTGGTACGGCGAAAGTATAGGGTATCGGTGTTAAACAGTGGTACCATCCGCGAGAGATTAAATTACAAAGATAGCAAATCTACGTTACTTGGTATGAAACATCAACGTCCTTTTGATGAAGATTTTCTTTAAAAACTTTCGGGAACACAGAATTAAAAGATAAAGTTCATAAATTCCCTCAGATTAGAATCCCCGAAAATGGTCAAAGCAAAGATACCTACCTTAATGAAGGCTCGTTCTAAAAACGAAATATGTAAACCTTGTAGCAAAGAGGGCTGGATTGTGGTATCGATTCCTTCGGTCGAATCGGATTGGTCCAGATCACACTCAAGGATGCTGAACCAAATTTGCAAAGCTAAATCACTGACGGACTCCTCACGTGGATATGCGCCGGCAAGCGTGAATGGGGCAAGGAGCATGCAGAATAAGGCCTGTACAGCATGGATCAATTCAACCCGGTCCGACAATGTTCGTCGAACTAAATGATCCATCTGTAAACATTCAATGGGGAACAACAAGGAGCACAAATAAAATAATGGCAAGGAGATAGCAGTTGAAGAAAGATCACAGTAAGACTACTGAACTTGGTGTGCGATTACGGCATCAAAATAAGGTTGTGTCAGGTATCTCTGATTTTTTGTTTGTCTATCAAGTATTGTCCCAGAAAGAGAGAGAGAGAGAGAACGGATGCAATAAAGTGCGTCCTGATGTGGTACAAACAATTCTCGCTCTAATCAGTTGCAGTCTATCTCAGTTGTTATTTATCCTAATAAATACTAACGAATAATGGACACAGAAGGAAATATTTAATTTGTGCTTGGCGGACAAGAAGCACTGATCAGCTGTTTCATTCCAGTTGGAACTGAAAAACAATCAGTACTTTCTGTGTATACCTGCCGGAAAACAAACCTCGGATTAGAAAGCGAAACCCTTAAGTATGAGCTGCACAACTCAGGGCGAAAACTGGGAACATAGTCATATGAATTTAGTAAGCTTTTTAAATACGCCAGAAATCTCTGTGATGACTGACAAAGAGGATTAGACAGCCGTTTCAGCCTGTATGAGAATCGTCAACAGTGCGTACATTTGTATCCCTTCAGCACTGCTAACGAATTCTAAACAGGAGGAAGTAGTTTTCCAGCATCCTTCACCGGTCATCACTAAGATTCTTATCGCATTTAAGTGTACTTAACTGGTGGAGAATTAACAATCTCTAAAGGAGTGAACACACCCAAAATCATAAACGATGCCTTGTATCTAGGAAAAACGGAATGGGCTAATCCAAATATTCACGTTCTGATTATGTTATTGTTATGTTTCATGCAGGTTTGCAAACACTGCCACCCATATAATGTTTCACGGAACATAAGTGTGTTTGAGGGGAAAGGGCGTAAATTAACTCTCCGGAAGTGAGAACAACATATGAACCACAATACTACTAACCTGGTGTCGGTGAATTCCCATTAAATAATCGGAGAATAGATATCTTACGAATAGATGACTAGTATGATCTAGCGAACAAACATTCATAGACAGGTCTAGGCGGTATGAGAAGTTGGGGGAATAAGTATTGTGCAACCGATGAATGAGAATGGACTCGTGTACGGATGAGAGCAAACAAAATGAACCCGATTAACCGAGTAAAATCTAAGCACAAAATTACAATACGGTCCTTAATTACGGCATAGAACCAGGCATATCTTAAATGCGCAAATCGGAATTTAAAGTTTATCAGGTTGCGTGATTGCTGATGGTGCACTAATATACACGCATAAAGCCGCATTCCGCTCCCTGTATGCGTGTGCATTTATGCACTACATGCAACACAAATAGCGACAAAACTCTAAGTATACCTACTTCTGTCCCGGAATTAATGGCTACAGTGCATAGATATAACTAGTTTGAGTAACCCTGCGACTGGGTGACCATGATTCACGTTATGATATATTATTAAATGTATTCTGAGAATTAGTTACAGGACCTCATCAAACATGACCTGCTACATCAGAGACGTAGGGCATTTTGGTTTATCTGTTGTCGTAACGGTGAGGTTTTTGAAATAATTAATGGATATGTTGAGCCAGAATGATCGCAGGGATTGAGGGGTGAATTTCGGATTGCCCGTGAGGAGAACTAAAATATTACAAACGCTGGAAATGAACTACATAATAACACTATGAGGACTCTTATTGAAAAAAATCTTTCCTCCACCGTTCACGTTAACGAGTATTGCCGAATTCCG